GAGGATTCCCTACAAAAGCCAGGGCTAAATGGTGGCCCCAAGCAGCAGCTGTCCACTGCAGGGGAGTGACACCATTGTGCATTTCAGACCCTAGAGATGGCCATTGAGTCCCTTGTGCTAGCGCCTCCCGGCTCAGGAGTGACAACCCTCGGGTGGCTAGAGCCATCCACTGGACACTGGACAAGGGGGTCAGGAACTCAGCCAGGACATTAGGGTGGACATGGAAGCAGGAATGAGCTTGTCAGGGTGTATGGTGGGAGCCTGGCCCAGTCTGGTTCCAGAGCCCTGTGCAGTCTTCTGTGATGACAGTCAGGAGTGAGGTGTGGAGAGAGTGTCCTAGGATCTCTGAGGACAGGTGAGGGGGCTTTCCAGAGAGGAAAAAGCACGAAAAGAGAAGAGAGGACTGGGCCTTGAGCCATTTTCCCAACTGGAGACATGGTAAAGGCCCAGAAGCTACCCAACACAAGGCCAAGGGGAAAGGTTAGTACGAGAAGCCAAGGACACCCTTCCAGAAAGGGGGGCGGTGTTGTCTGGAGCTGCCAAGAGGCACTGGTAGCAAGAAGGTCGTTGGTGACATTGGAGAGCTAGAAGTGGCTGCAAGGTGGGGAGAGGAGATGGTGGGGACAGTGACGGTGGGGGGGGCACATTCTGGAATCTTCTCTGTGCAGAAGTGTGTAGCTATGGCTGGGCAGGGATGGGCAGGCAAAGGAGGGAAGACAGGAGGAGAAAGGATGCTGCAGGGCTGGGAGTGGGAGGCACAGGGGGAAGGGGCCTGTGCTGTCAGGAGAGGAGACCAGGGACTCCCAAGTGAAGATGGAGCAGCCATAGGGCTGCACCCTCCCTCTGCCCCTCAAGTCTGGGGGTGGCCCTGGGTATGCCTGTGGGCTCTGAACGCTGTGGTTCTTCAATAGCGGTCACGATGTTTAAGGCAGGCTCTGTACCCCTCTGAGCCAAGCGCCCACCCAGGAGGTGTACTGACACCCCAGCTGCCCTTTGGGCCCTGGCCACTGTGGATCCCCGAGCCCCACTGCCTGCCCCCTTGGGGAGGGTCCTCAGGATAGTCCCCACCCCCAGGGACATGATGCACATGGTGGGCCCTGCTGTTTGTTACAATGATACTGGGAGACACAGGACGAGTTGGGGCCTCACAGATGGAAGTGGTCTGGCACCAGGCATGCGGTGCTTGTGGTGCCATTTCCCAAAGGCACGGAGCAGGAAGGGGCAGACTCGGGAGAGCGGCATTTACTTCACGGTGGAACTCACCGACTGGAGGTACACAAGCAGCTAGGCTGCCCCCACAGTTTGCTGGCATGGGCAGGCCTCCTGCACAGGCCTGGCTAAAACTGGGCCCTGCCAGCTCTGATAGGTTCAGCAGGAGTGCAGCTGAGCCGGGCCTGGTGCTTCCGGGAGTAGACATGACAGCTGTAGGCAGCCCCAGACCTTGGGGCCCAGGAAAGCCCGAAGGAGAGGCAGCTACCCTTGCCCACCTCCAGGGCTCCTGGGGAACCACCCTGTCTGCGTGCCCCTCGGGGTGTTCACTCCTTCTCTCGCTCCATTGCTGGTTCTTTCCCCCCACATACCTTACTTCTTAATGTGAGGGGCTCCAGAGCCCTGTACCCAGACCCCACTCCCCACCATCACTTCCCAAGGGAGCCTGTCCACCTTCATTCCCATCTCCGTGCTTCCCTCTTGGCCCTCTTTCCTGAGCTCCAGGCCACATCTCTAGAGTGACTGAGACAGCTCCCGGCCCTCCTGTACATGCCTCCTTCATTCCTTCCAGACACACTCCCAAAGCGCCCGCCATGTCCCAAAGGCTGGCAACGCTGGCACCGAAAGACACAGCTCCCTCCCTCGTGGCATTTACATCAGCCCCTAAGCAAGCACATTTCTCCACAGCCTGCCTCAATGAATGCCAACAGCTCTCAGCCACACTTTTAACAACAGGAAGCAGGAGGACACCCGTGTCTCTCAAAACTCTCCCTTTTCAGGATCCCTGCTCTGATGGAAGCCTTCTTCTCCCTCTCCCACTCCCCCTGCTTGTGTTACCTCTCGCGTGTCTCTTTCTCCGTCAAATAAATAAATAAATAAAACCTCTCCCTTCTCCATACGGAATCAGGCAACAATATATATTTTATTTACTTGTCAGAGAGAGAGAGTGAGAGGGAGCACAAGCAAGGGGAGCAGCAGGCAGAGAAGCAGACTCCCTGCCAAGCAAGGAGCCCGATGCAGGGCTCCATCCCAGGACCCTGGGATCATGACCTGAGCCGAAGGCAGAGGCTTAACCCACTGAGCCACCCAGGCGTCCCAAGCAACAGTATTTTTTAAGGAATCCAGAGCACTTGCCTCATAGAATGTTCCAGAGTCTAGATTTTCCCCATTGCTTCCTCATTAGATTCAGCAGAGTCTGCTTCTCTCTCTCTCCCTCTGCGCCTCCCCCTGCTCGAGCTCTCTCTAAAATAAATAAATAAATCTTTAAAAAGAAACTGCACAGAACAACAACAAAAACTTACCAGAGAGCTATATGACTGATATAAAAGTAAAGAAAACAAGATTATCATTTCAGATTATGATCAATGCAATACAATTGACTGAAATGGACATATGCAAAGAATGTTGCCTGGGGGCAGTATGTTAGTTTGGTGACATAAAAGGTTTTTCCAAGGCGACAGGGAACCAAGATCCTCATGACAAGGAGCAGCCAACCATGGGAAGATTTGTACAGAGTCTTCCAAACAGAAGAATAAATGCAAAGGGTTAGGGGCAGGCCACCCTTGGTGTGGAGCAAAGAGAAGGCCCTAGGCTGCAGAGAATGCAGGAGCAGACAGATGAGGACACAAAAGGACAAGCTGGGAACTCAGGTCAGACAGAATTGGGGTATTTTTGAAGATTTATTTATTCGTTTTTGAGAGGAGCGAGGGGGAGAGGGAGAGAATCAGAGAATCTCAAGCAAACTTCTTGCGGATCATGGAGCCCAGCAATGGACTGGATCTCACAACCCTGAGTTCATGACCTGAGCTGAAACCAAGAGCTGGCTGCTCGACCGACTGAGCCCCCCAGGCGCCCCAAACGTAGGAGCTTTTATAAGCTACATCAAGGAGTTTAGATATAATTGCAAGGGCAATGGAAAATCATTTTATGATTCTAAACAGGGATGCGATGTGATGTAACTTATATTAAGAATTAAGAGGTGATTCTGTTGCATGAACAGGCTGTAAAGGCACAAGTATAGTAGCAACCAGTCAGGAAGCTGTTGAAGGAATTGGATGGATGGTGGTTCCCACTTGGCATTAGCAATGCAGAGGGAGTGAAATGGTCTGATGTAGGGTCTGTTTTGAGGGGAGACCCAGCAGGATTTGATGCTCTAGTTCAGTTTTATGTCCTTCCTTATGATTACCAAGGACGGACACAGAAAACTAATACAACATTCCAGGATGGATATCTCTTGTCTGATTAAAAAACTGCTTTTTGATTATGAGGGTGCCTGCAGGCTGGTTCGGTGGGTACAGCATGCGACTCTTGGTCTGGGGCACGTGAGTTTTTGCCCCAGGTTGGGTGTAGAGACGACTTAACAAGAAAAAAATGAAAGAAACGTGACGTAAGGTCCCCGTGGGCCTTTTGGGGGAAGAAGCCCCCCCAAGCAAGTCAGCCCCCCCAAAGCCACCACCCAGAGATCATGGGTGTCTACACTTGGGGGTGTTGCACAGGCTTTCTGGCGTCTAGACAGGGCCGTGGGTTCTTTTGCCGTTCTGCCTTCTGGTTGTTCGTCTAGGACACGACCCGGTTTTCCGCGGCCACTGCTTGAGTTCCAGGGCCCACCCCGTCGCTCCTCGTCCCGCTGGCAGGCTTGCCCTCGCACGGGGACCACCGGGCCATCTTTCTGAAAATCGCATCTGATGTGCTCATCCCAGGGGCAACCCCCTCGAAGGCCACTTCGGGTTGTCCACCTGTACCGGCGATGGGGGCGGGGCGCGACCCAGGATCCGTCGTGGGCTCTGTCCCACCTCCCTTCCACGAATGGCTGCAAGGACGTCGAGCCACACGTCCTGGGGACCCGAACCCCGGCAAGAGGCAGGGCGGGCAACAGGCCACGAGTCCGGTGGCTTCACACGAGGTCTTGGGCAGGGGTGGGGGTGCGGTGGGGGTCGAGCTGAGGCACGACGGGACTGCGGAGGTGCGACGGGGTCACGTGTCACCCCACGGGGCAGCGTTTCGTGAGGGAGTGCTCGCTGGCCACACAGCCGGGAAGGCGGTCCCGGAAGCCGCGGGCCGCAGGCCCGGCTTGGCGGGAACCCAGCGCGATGCCGGCAGCCGCCCGAGGGAAGCGTCGTGTATGCGCAGGCGTGCCTGGATCCCACGGAGCCCTGAGGGGCGGGGCTTCACGAGAGAGCGCTCATTGGCCAGGCAGCCGTGGGGCGGGGCCTCCGGGAGCTCACGGGGCAGCTGACAGGGACTGTGGGAGGCCAGCCAAGGGCCCAGCAGGCTCGTGGGGCCGGGGCGGGTCGGTGGGGTGGGGTGGGCGATGGGGGCTGTTGGCGGAGGCGCTCCGGGCAGCCCGAGTCGCGTCGCGTACAAAGGCGCTGAGCTTTGCGAGGAAGCGCTGGCTGGCTCGGCAGCCATGGGGCCTCCCAGGGCCCAGGGGTGCAAGGGCCCACTGGGCGGGCGGCGACCACAGGCCTGGCGGCCTCCCTAGGAGCCCGTTGGCACAGGCGCCCTGGGGACGCGTCGGGCTCTGAGACGCAAGGCTTGTGGAGAGAGCCGGGCTTTCCTGGCGGGCCCCCGCCGGGTCTGTTTGGCGGGAAGCGGCCACGCGCCCGGCACCCTTTTCCCCACACCGCTCCGCCCCTCCCCGCCCCTCCCCGAGCCAGTTTGCGCGTGCGCGGCGTGGGGGCGGGGTCCGCGCGAGAGCGGAGCTTTGGGAAGAAGCCATAGTTCGTTCCTCAGCTGCCACTCGGAGGGGCGGGGCGGCGGGAGCGGCGCCCGGAGGGCGGGGCGCGGCGGCCATGCAGGCGGCAGACGCAGGCGCGGGCAGCGGGGCGGGCGCTGCGGACGAAGGCTCGGACGGCCAGGACCGTCGCCGTGGCCCGGGCGGTCCCGGCTTTCCCGGCGGCGCGGGCGAGGCAGCTGCTGCCGCCGCCGGCAGGGCTCGGCCCGTCTCGCGCGTGCGGCACGTCCCGGAGCCGGGTGGAGACGCCGCTGCCACGACTGGAAGGCGGGAGAGCCGAAGACACATATTGTATCCTGCCCGAGCGGACGGCGCGGCCTGGGCCCCTGAGGGATCGAAGGGTCGGGGCGGCCTGCGGGCGGACAGGGAGAGGGGCGGTGTTCACCAGGGGCTGGGGACGGCTAGGGCGGTCCGGCCAGGGCTGGTGGGACAGTGGTCACCCGGGGAGTGGCTGGGGGGGGTCCCGCCCAGGGCTGGTGGGACAGTGGTCACTGAGGGAGGCTGGGGGTTCCGGCCTGGGGCTGGTGGGACGGTAGTCACCTGGGGAGCGGCTGGGGGG